CCCACCCCCACCTTCCCACTGAGATTCATCAGTCTGCTCCATGCTTCTATGTCTCTGGTTCTATTTTGTTCCTCAGTCTATTTTATTAGATTCCACATATGAGTAAAATCATGTAAAACTAAATCAGGAAGAATCATAAAACCTGAATAGGCTAATAACTGATGAAATCGAAGCAGTAATAAAAAAAACTCCCAGCAAACAAAAGCCCTGGTCCGGAAGGCTTCACAGGGGAGCTTTCTAATTCTTTAAGTTGTAGGGTTAGATAGTTTATTAGAAATGTTTCTTGCTTTTTGAGGTAGGCCTGCAGTGCTATGAAATTCCCTCTTGGGACTGCTTTCACTGTGTCCCATAGATTCTGGGTTGCTGTGTGGTCCTTTCCAGTTGTTTCCAGGAAGTTTTTGATTTCTTTGTTGATCTTATTGGTAACCCATTCATTATTTAATAACATGCTCTTTAGCCTCCATGTGTGTGAATGTGTGTGTTTTTTTACTGTAGTTGGTTTCTAATTTCATGCCAGTGTGTTCCGAGATGCTTGATGATTTCAATCTTCTTGAACTTGTAGACTTGTTTTGTGTACTAACATGTGGTCTATCTTTGAGGATGACCATGTGCACTTGAGAGGAATGTACATTCTGCAGCTTTGGGGTGAAATGTTATGCAAATGTCAATTAAATCCATCTGATCTAGTGTGCCATTTAGTCACTGTTTCTGTGATCAATAAAGATTTTTTAAAAAGGTGTCATGCTGTAAGCATTTGGCACTATTACCATAACCATGACCCATCCATATTGTGGTGAGTGGCTGTAGTTCATTCCTTTAAGACTTTTGCACATTCCATCACCTGAATATAGGTTTTGCCACTGTGAACGTTCTATTGGATATATACCTGGGAGGAGAACCACTGGGCACAGAGTATGAAAATTCAATTTTCAAGTTCATTCCCAAAGCAGCTGCACCCATTTACACTCTTATCTGTAAGGCCTAAGAGACCCACAAACTCTCCAGCAATTGATTTGTCAGGCTTCCTGACTTGCCATTTGAACGTGTGTAAAGTATTTTATTTCTTTAGTCTTGATGTACAATCCCTTGATCTAATGAGGTTGAACATCATTTTGGGGCCATATTTCCTCTTCTGTGTAATACCTGTTAACATATTTTGCTTATAGTTTCCTATTGGGTTGTCTTTTACCAGTCTGCAGGAATTTTTTACATATCCTTCATTTTTTTTTCAGTTTGTCATGTCTTTCCCTTTGTTTTGATAAAGTATTTTTTAAAAAATTTATTGTGTGTGTGTGTGTGTATATATATATATATATATCTACACAAAAAATTGATTTTAGAGAGAGAGGGAGAGATACAAACATTGATGACCGGCTGCTTCCTACTGTGGGTTGAGCTCGAAACCTGGGCATGTCCCCTGACATAGAATCAAACCTGGGACCTCTTGGTTCATGGGTCGACACTCAACCACTGAGCCATGCTGGCCGGGCTAATGAGTATATTCTTAATTTCAAGAGTATAATGCATGTGAAAAAGAATTCTACCAATTTCAAGGAATCTTGGTGCTATTTACAGAAACACTGGGCTATCTAAAAAGCTTCTCCGATCCCCCTCCCTTCTAATCCTGTTTAGGAGGATAAGCTTCAAGGCCAGTAATGATTTTATTAACATTTACTTTGTCCCCTGCAGTGAAAAGAACAGGTATAGGAAACAAATTCTCTCTAGTGTCCAAACCGAATACCAAAGAGTCTGCTGCTGTGAAACAGTTTGCTTTTTTATTTGTATACTTACTATTTTACAGTTACGGGGTGGTTACAGGTGGAGGAAGATAGTAGGTTACAATTAAGTACAGTCTCCATTATTTTGATTCATTTCATGACAAAAAATTGCAAAAGGAAGGCTTTAAGATACCAGATATGTTTATAAGCCTGTTAACCCCACACAAATGAGAAAGTAACTCAAACATCTCAACGCTGTAAAACACTGACCAAGAAAACATGAAAAATAAGAGCAAAGCTCCCACCAAAAAAAGACATGTGGCCAGGTACAAGCCAGCCACTCTCTTAAGCACGAGGAGCCCAGCTGAGCAAGCAGCCCGCCCTCTGTGCAGTCTCCCTCTGGGGGATGTTAGAGAAGCCAGGGTGATAGCCACCAGTGACACACACCATGGACTGCTGTCCTGTACTAAAGATGCTTTAGAAAGTCTGAGATGTGACAGCCCGTCCTTCTCTCTTCCCAACTTCCCGGAAAGAACCCTGGTGAGAACTCCACGGAGGACACCGACACTGAGCCTGTCAGCTCCTACTGACCTTGACGCTCCAGAGTGAACCTTGTCACAGTGGCAGTGACCCTGCATGACCTCAACAGTCATTGGAATTTGAGGACTGAGGGGAAAGACAAGTTTATTTAAAGTACAATTTATGAAAAGAGCAGATTATAAAGCTGTTTAAAAACCAAACAGGCACAGGAAACTCGAGGCTGCAGAGCAGTCTCATCACACTGCAAAGAAATGCTGCTTCTGAAGAGTCTCAAGCCAGAGTGGCTTTACGAGTTGAAGTTGATTAGCTTTTCTGGTTCTAGACTTATCCTCTACCAAGTAATCCCCTTCACTGAGAAAACCAGGTTAGTCCTTAAAAATCACAAATTGAAAGTGGACACTAGGTAACATTTCCAACACCTCCCTCCTGGCTCCCTGAAGAAAAAAAGACATTTGAGTCATGATGGGAAAGCCAGGATTCTGGAAGTCTGCTATGGAAACCATTCCTTTCCTAGCACCTGGAGAAACAATCTGGCCTCTGACAAAATGGATTTTGAGGTAAGAACATTCTTAGAAACTCGAGCCCCTTGATAATAAAGGGGCATTTGTATCTTCATTAAATGTTCTCTTAAGCCAGCTCAATAGCAGAGAGAAATCAGACATCAAGTATCGGTCTCAAACCTATCTCTGGAATATTCACATAATAGGTGCAAACGTTTATGAAAGTGATCCTATTTATTTAGGTGCTTCTTCGGGGAAAGATGTACCCTCCTCTCTTAATTCAGTTAACTTATGGATGGGTGGCAGATACTAAAATGCTTTCTGTAATATTTAGTATTACATAAATATTATACACCAAGGGAATAGGTGCTTGTGAGAAGCAACCACTGCAAAGTTATGGCAACATCTGGGGGGAGGCAGGAAGACAGCTACACAGGAGTTTCATTTCAACTATAAGGAAACATCTGGCCCTGGCTGGTGGTGGCTCAGTTGGTTGAATGTTGTCCTATGCACCAAAGGGTCACCGGTTTGATTTCTGTTCAGGGCACATACCTGAGTTGCAGGTTTGATCTCTGGTAGGGGCATGTACCCCAAGAACAAAACAAAACAAAATAAAACGAAAGAAACTTCTGAATTCCTGGGAAACCTAGCTGACTCTTTCAAGGGTCTGAACATTTCACAGGCCCTTCAAAGTTGGAATCTAAAAGGGCCTTTGGAAAGAAGTCTGACAGAGTTGAATTTCAAACGTCTGGCCACCGGGAAATCCCTCCAGGAGACAAAGTCCCAACTCCTCAACTTAGGGCAGAGGATTTTTAGTCTTAAGGTCTCCCTCTTAAAGAAAACACCAGTAGGCAGAAAGTCCGTTCTTCCATGCTCTTGGATGGGTAGCAATTTAAGTACACAGTCACTCAATGCACTGACCAGAAGAGCACCCACTGCCCCCACCCTATTTCTCCAGATCAAGCTGCAGCCAAGGTTCTCACCCTAAGGCAAGTGAACTCTGCACCGTGCCAGGTCCTCTACCACCACCCTCCCATGCCAGCCTGGCCTCTCCCAAACAGCTCAAAGCTCTGTACCTTGACCACTGAGTCATAAAACCATCAAACTACACAACAGTACTTCCCAAAACATGATCTGCTTGCGATGGAGTAGCACCCATCACTGTCATGAAGTGTCTAGAATTTCTTCTAAAAAGCAGTTAAAAGAAGCAGGTGCACATTGTGCAAATATTTGATTTCCTCCATATTGGGGAAAGAAGTCCTTTTACCCAATCAAAAACTACAGCCACACCGTATGTAAGGGTTCTATGTTAGGCAAAATATATTTTTAGAAAATGAGGGGGGAAGAAGTTAGCATCCTATTTCTAATCATCACTAGCTCTTTTTAAGGTAGTATCAATAATCCTGTAACTTCTAAACGAAGCTTTTCTCTTAAATTACAGCACTCTACTAAATTTAGATAGTTTAAAAGTTAATTTCATGAGCAGCTAAAAATAACTCAAAATAAAGACAAGCATTAAATATTACGTAAGGTTTTCTTTTATTTAAAAGATCATTCACAAAATACCATATCCATAGATTTACTTTCTGTCATATAGCTGAATGTGTTAAGTGTTTGGAATTCCATTCTTACATTTAAAAGTCAACTGGGTTGCCCAGAAGTTTAGATGAATTTGTTTTGTTCTTAATCTTTTTTTCCACATTGAAGATATAAGTAGGTCATCTGAAAGCATCAGGTTTGGTTACAACCACATAATGCATGTCTTTCTTAAGTATTGGTGTTACACAAATGGTTCTTATTTCAGAAGCAAAGATGACAGGTGGAAGGAAAGAAGGGAGAGAGTTCTGTAAATTGCTGAGACCTTGTAACAAAGACAGAGTGGAAGCCAAGGATGCCAGCTAGTGACTACTACCTACGCAGGCCAGGATACCCCTCAGTCATGCTGGTGAGGATCTCTTTTCTCTAGGGCTCTAGCTGCTGGCTTACCCTGAATTTCTCCCAATGAAACAAGTGGGACTCAGGTGCTAAAGAATTTGTCTGCACATGGGTGTTCAAGCTCAAAAGCTATTGCCTGGCCCCCAGCCCTGGGTTAACACCAAACACTGTGGGAACAATGGACTTTGTCCCAAAGATGAGACCTAGTAACTTACAGCCACCCACCAATTATTTTAAGGTTCTTGATAGCTCTGCATAGTAAAATTCTCAATTCATCAAGTGAAACAGAGTAAAGTGCCAGATACTAGGCCCATTTTCATTATAAAATTAAAGGGTGGTGGGAAGCACAGCACCTCACTGTTAAACTAGGGAACAGATAAATGCAAAGGAGAGATGCAGAATATACAGATAACAGGGATTTGGAAAGAGCAATGTCCACACTCTAAAGCTAGCCCAGCACAGCTCTAACCATTCCCACCCTTTAGTCTCCTGAAGCATCTGTGCCCAGTGGAAAGGAAACCAGCAGCAGACAGTTTGATACATCCAGCCAGATCGAGGAACCTCTGATACAGCTGGTGAAAGGAGAGAACCAGTCTGGACAGTGTCAAAAAAGCAACAATAAAACGTGTGAACACAAGTAGTGCATTCGACTGATCTTCCATGTAAACTCTCTACCAACACCTCACATTACCCTTTAGGTCTCACTGTTTGAAATTTGAGCCTATTCTGCTCAAATAATCCATTTGGGGAGGGGGCAAGAGAGATAGTACTACCTATAAATAGGGGTGGGAGGAAATTTGCAAGAATCAACAGATATTTTATCCTTGTTTTGAAAACAAGGTGCCTCAAAATCTGTATGTTGATCAAAGCTGAATAAAAACAAGATCCTATCCAACTGGTGACTTCTTTTCTGGTGTGTGTGTGTGTGTGTGTGTAAAAGCCACAGAAATACAGAACTCAACATGCAGGTTGGAAGAGAAGCACTGAAAAAATCAAAGGAAGTGACTGGAGTTTGGCCAGTGTGTTTAAAGTAAAAAGAGAAAGCAAAGAAGAAAAATGAAACAGCACCTCAATCCAAAGAGCTCCCACATGGTGGCTGCCTTTGTCCCTTTAGAGAAACTCATGTGCTGGAAGGAAACGAGGAGCAAGAAGGAAGGAGGACAGAAGGAAACGAGGGAAGGAGAGGCAGGAGAAAAAAAAAGCACGGAACAGGCACTAGATACAGCAAAGCCAAGAATGTACTAAAAACCACTTGTTAACTGCTGACATGCACTCACAAGCTCTGTTTCCTTTGTAAGAAAGGACGACAAAGGTCAGGTGCAGGAATGGTAACTGCAGGACTGCGGTCCGGGGGCTGGCCAGGCGGCCTCGCTCTAACTGCCCCCGCGCCCCATTCCCGCCCAACCGTGAGCTCATTCTTGCTCCTTGTGAACAACTTCCTCTCTGGGCCGGGCTCCCCCGAAGATAGCAGAGTTGGGATTGGCTACTTGATTGAGGGGCGTTGCAACTGTTCGAGGTTTAAGCTGGAGCCTTGGTCTCTGTGCTCTTTCCTCTGGGGGGAAAAAAAGGTTTATAAAGAATGGATCCCATTCCCATTGGGCAGAATGACCAAACTGATGCTGATCTCTACAGCCCAGCCCAGTTTTGAAAAATTAACAGCCTTGAAGAACTATTCCACCCCTAGATACACTCGTAAAGGTAAACTTCCTATTTAAGACTAAGGGTGGTCTACAGTAACAACTGTGCATGGCTTAAGAAGGCAAATGTCCATGTGGTACAGTCAAGGTATCATGAAAAGGTACCCCCCATTTACAAGCTGTCGCCGTACCTTCTGTTGGTTCTCTGAAATCCATATTGGACCCTCGAAGGGGAGGGCCATCTCTGAAACGACTCCCCATTGGGGGGCCCGTTCGCCGGTCACCTGGGCGACTCCCTCCCCTGCCTCCTAAGAAGTCGTCCCTGAAGCCTGAAGAAGAAAGATGACACTGAATTACTTTTTAAACCACTGTCTCAAAGTTGATTACACAGCTTGAGTAAATTGTTTCTGACTTCAAAATTTTAAGTTCTTCAGTTTGTCCAGCATCTGAAGTTTTTCCAAAGTACAGTGCATTGAAAATGAGTCCAAATGTGAAACTGGTAATTTCAATGCTAATAGACTTTTTAAATAAAAAAGACTCTTAGGAGAGAAAAATTATATAAGCCGTTTAAATTCTTAGCCTGTAGGAAAAGTGGAAAACACTATATGAGGTCATATTCTAATATGGCTTAAAATAATACGAAAATCCTCAAAGCACATTTTATTCTGTTTTCAATTATAAATCTATACAGTTATTAAAAAGATAAACCTGAAATTTAGAAGTTACAATTTAAAATGCAAAGTCACAAGAAAAAACTAGACACGAATACAAAATAAAAATACGAAGTCACCTCTGGGTGACACTCCCCATTTTCCTGTTCCTGCTGCGTTTCAGTGTGGATCATTCTAAAAGCAAAGCACCTGTGTGGTAAACAAAGCAGTTATCGGAGTAAGGCCCACTCCCTAAAGGGGGCAACAGTGAAGAGCAGAGCACCTCATACACAACCTGTATCTCACCTCCTCTGGTGACAAAGGGGTTTCCCCCATTCATTTGTGTATCTGCTAAAACAATTACCAACAGAAGTAAAATGCACCTCATTTACAAATGGTAAGAGTAAGTTACAATCTTTACCAGTGTGTAGAAGAAAGAGTATTTTCTCAATGGACTGAAGAAGCTTAGGCTTTATAGTTTTGTATTTCAGTCCTTCAGTTACTGGGGTTTAAGCTAATTAACCTTTTAACAGTATGGCCCATTGAAATTAGAGTTAACTTCCAGTAAAAATGTACATAAGATTGTAATTGAACAGAAGTGCCTGCCCCCTTTGTTTAAGCTCTCAAAGGTGACTACTTTGACTCACTCTAAGGATGGTGCCAGTGCTTAAGCTTTCTAGGAGTGTATCTTTGAGAAGAATCCTGAGCCTGAGGCATTCTTCTATAGAGCCGGTCCCCATTATTCAGAGATTTTCTATTTGCAAATTCATCTACTTGCTAAAATTTACTTGTAACCCCCAAATCAATACTTGTGTTTCTGCAGCCATTCAGACATCCACACAGCAGTGAAAGACTTGAGTCGCCCAACTCTAGTGTTCTCAGCTGAGTGAAACAAGGCACTACTCTGCCTTGTTTCAGCTCATACTGTAAATATATCCTTTCCACAACCTATTTCGTGCAAGGTTTTTTTGCTTGTGTTTTTGTTGGTGATTTCTGTTTAAAATGGCCCCAAGCCCGGCCAACATGGATCAGCAGTTGAGCATTGACCTACGATCCAGGAGACTGTGGTTCGATCCCCAGTAGGGGGTGTGCGGGAGGCAGCAATCAATGATGACTCTCTCATCATTGATGTTTCTCTCTCTCCCTGAAATCAATAAAAATATATATATTTTTTAAGAAAAGGACCCCCAAACAGTGCTGAAGAGCTGTCATAGTGTTCCTAAGCATAAGAAGGCCATGATGTGTCCTAGGGAGAAAATACATGCTAGATAAGCTTCATTTGGGGAGTTATAGTGCTGCTGGCTGTTGAGTTCAATGTTGATGAACCAACAATATATAGTAAATATGGTGTCTTTAAACAGAAAAACACATTAAACAAGTTTAAGTATACATCTGCTGACAAAATGCTGTGATCAGACTCAAAGGAGCCTAACCTTGTTATTTCCCCTGGGAAATCAGTATTTGTTAATTTGGTATTCTCGTTGATTCTATAGAACCTAACCAGTGCATATGTGGAGAATCAACTCTATCTGCAACAGTGGTACTTTCCCTGTTCTTTAAGGGTGGCAAGGATTTTGGAAATATATCAAGTTATTTAAAAGCCAGTTCAGAGACTGAGTTGAACAATATCCATTTTAACAAAACAAGCAATCAAAACAATTCTAAAAAAAGATTTAGACCAAATAGGAGCACTGCTTTGGGGGAAAACACTGGGATGCATATAGTCAAGCATAAGATTCTTCAGTCTTTTAACCTGACACTTTCCCTAAACTAATCTAAACTGTGAAGTATACCTTTCGGTGTGAGTATGAAGTTACTTTCCTTTAATGAAGTTAAACAGTTTTTGCTGCCAGTGTTTAGTAAAACAAATCAGCTCACACCCACAATGACAAGGCAGATAAACACAACTGCTATTTTGTCCAGGTGTATGAGACATAGTAAAACACCAGTGTACATTATCACAACTTCATTTCAGAGTATCTTATGAGCACTGAAAGACTATGAGAAAAGCAAGGCTGACATTAACAAATATCTTTTAATCAATCTGATGAGAATTCCAGGAGGCACTATTCATGAGAACCTTCTGAATTTGTTTTTTGGTTTGTGTTTTTTTATAAAGTTTAGTTTACCACACTGGCTATTTCTGGTGGTGGGACTTTTTAATTTTTACTTGATGCTTAAAATTTTTTTTTAACCAGCACATATCATTAAAAAATAGCATCATTCTTTTAAAGAGTAAAAAATATCTATTTTCATAAATAATGTATACAGGCATTACTCTACCATGTGGGCACTTCATCAAAACACTGCAGTTCACACCAAAACTGGTGGGTGGCAAGGCAGTTTCTCTGGCTATGTTCACTATATGTCTCTGCTTAAGAGTGAAAGCCCAAGCTATGCCAATTTTAGAAAGGCATTAGTTAACTTTCACGGTTCCAGAGCTACGAGCTCCCTGTGCTCTTTCCATAGTACCAGGAAATGCACAACTGGCAAGTCAAAGACCACCACTCACCAAACCACTAACTGCTGCACCTGGATTGGCTTTGAGAAGACACTTGTTGCATGTTTCAATCAGAGACTAGCTTATACATAAAATTACAGGTTTACTGGATTATACTGTACTTTTATGAATAAGCTCATTTCTAATTGGCTATAGGACTTTTAAAAATTAAATTATTCAACAGATATAAACAGTCATCTGTTTAGCTAAAGCAGTACTGGAAATAAATTTAAAAACTTTTTAGACTCAGAAGACACCTTGCACCAGTTTCCCCATACTTACCCATTACTTTATAGAGTTTTGTTTTGATTAGGGGAAGGTGAAAGGGTCGGTGGCTGCATGTGTTGATGTTCACATATATTGAAAGAGTACTGAAATAACCTCGTTTATAGGAAAGAAAACACTTATTTTTAATTTTCTACCTTTCTGTTACAACTGACATTTTTACCATATATGTGAATTACTTAATTAAAAAAACAGATGAAGAACTTTAAGAGATCTTTCAAAGCAGAGGTGTGGCATGCAAACTGCCCCCTTGAGTTGAGCCAAGGAGGCATCTATTGGCCTGCCTTGATAAGTTAAAAGGAATGGTAGGCCCTGGTCTGGTAGCTCCGTTGGTTAGACAGTCATCCCGATACACCAAGATTTCGGGTTCAATCCCGGTCAGGGCACATACAAGAATCAACCAATGAATGAATAAATAAATGGAACAACAAATTGATGTTTCTCTCCCTCCCTCCCTCCCCCTAAAGAAAAAATAATAGGAATGGTAAAGTGGATCATTCCCATCATAAAGGTATGAGTTCTGTGCCCCTCAAGAAAAAAGCAGGTCACCAGGACTCTTTTACCATCTAAGAGGGAGCCATCATGAACCACCAGTTATAAGGCTTTTTGTACGTTTCTAGCACCTCCATACTCTATCTAGAAGTAACGAACAATATTTCTATTTGTGCCATACACACAAGAGCCACCAAGGAGTTTCCTTTGGCTAGACCCGGAGAAGACTAGAAAGACTACTGCATGAGACAAAGTCACTGTGAGAATGAAGAGTCGGCTAAGGAAAGGTAACAAAACAAGGTGGATCAGCCTAACTTGCCCACGGTGTAGAACCTTTCAGGCCCTACCCCAAGTATTTAGGTTCTAACAGAGGCTTATTGCATGCCTGGGTACCTTTTGGGAAAGTTTCATTTGTCAAAGGAACTAAAGAAGTAGTCCGGCCAGGCCGGCTCCTCACAAGAAATGTACAACAGCAGCAAGGCCACTGAAAAAGGTTAAGTGGTGATACTTTAAATACTGATACCGGAATTGAAGTCATCCCGGGACTCCCATCCACCTCTAGATTCTCGAGAGCCACCCATTCCTGAGGATACACAAAAAAGATAAAGTTGAGGTTGGATCATTACCTTGCTGCACACACATGGAAAAATTCACTGGGACGATGTACAACTCATGTGATGGGAAGTTCAACAAAATTAAAAGTTTTTGCTGCCAACAGAAAAAACAACCCCAGGCTTGCAGAAGCATCATCCATTCTAAGATTTTACATTTATTAAAGCTCACAAAAACCTATCAGACCTACAAGACAGAGTTCTATTAGTAACGTTCCAGAGTTGTAACCAGTAAGTTTAAATTTTATGCTCAGTTTTAGAAGAACCAATCACCTCTGTCATCTGGTCCACCTTTCCTGAATCCAAAGCCACCTTTATCTTGTTTTCTGCCTTCTGCAATGTCCACACGAAGTGACCGATCACCCAACAGCTAGTGATAAGGGAAAAACAGTGTAAGTATAAGCAAGAAAAAAACCTACTAACACGACAGAGAAAACATGAACATACTTACTGCACCATCGTAGGTCAAGGCTTCCTTAAGGGAATCCACCTCGTCAAATTCTACATAGCAGAATCCTGTAAGAGAAAACAAACTCCATTTCCTCAAGAAATTATGGGTTAAAATATGGTGGGATCCCTATTTGTATAATCATCCACATCAGAACTACCACTTTTGTTGCATCTAGATAACTGCAGACTAATAGAGCCTAAAAGAACATGTTTTACTTTTCAATAAATAGAACTTGATTGGTACCCCTCCCTCTCAGATATATTTTATCAGGAAGTGCTAATCAAACAGGCACTAATGCAGCAGCTGTGTTTTTGTAAAACTTTCTTCTGTGTTTTAACCATATTAAAATCTTTCTTGGATCGCTGCAGTTGTTGGTTCTGATTTCTGAATGACTTTAATATACCCTAACTGGGGTTTTAACACAGATTTCAAAGTTGATACTGATGTGCTCTGAAGGAGAGGCTGAAAGTGCCTACTCCTACTTAGGTAGTTGGTATAAAAACCTCTGAATAAGCCTTTCTTTACGCGCAACACTCGTCCATGTTCCTTCTTTGCCACCTGGAGTCTACATCTGGGTTAAGTACCTCCCCTGCCCTACTATGCTCACACGGCACCCTGCACACGCCCACACCTGTCAGAGGATTCTCATCCTATGTGTTAATTATACTTTACCTTCAAAGCCCACTACACCACAAGAGCTTTGAAGGCCTGGGTCCAAACTTTCCTGTTCACCATTTGTTCTTTAAGTACTTACACAAAGAATGTACTGCTTGGCTGGGGAGTGTCCCCTGCCCTCCTGCCTTCTTCCCTAAGTGGATTCAATGTTTAGAGAAACTGAGAAAACCACTCTAAAGCTCAAAGAGGCAACAACCACCCAGTCACACATCTCACCCTAGAACTGCTGAAGATGATCCTCTATGAGACAAAGTCTAAAACCTGCCACCAACTCAGCCTAAAGGCTGGCTTATTTTTACCTTAAGTTTGAATTCCTAATGCTTGTTAGCAAGCAAACTGGGTGGGACTGACTTACAAGTTTAATCATTATACTTGTTTTCATTGTTTGACCACTTGATAACAAAGTTTCAGGTTCTAAAGTCAAAAGGCTTTCAAAAAGTTAAATATCACTACACAGAGAACCACGCAGATGAGCAACACCTCTGCTTTTTGTACAGCTCCTCACTGTAAGTCACCATAGTGACTTTCCTTTCTGTGGATACACTTATGGATAAATAATGTAAACCAAATGCCCTTGTACCTTGTATCATGCACTTAACGATCCAGGCACATTTCCCTTCCTACAGCCTCGAAAGTCACATGATGATGCCATTTGATTCTCCCTCCTCCTCCTCCTCTGCTCAAGTGCCTGAAGATGCTAATCCACAGGCACTAACTTTATCTGAAATCTGAGCCAACCCTCTCCTGAACACATAGTCTGAAGTCACAAATGTTTAACGGTAACATTTACTGGGTTATCTTTTGGATTTTACAATAAATATCTGAATTATAGGAAAACTACAAAGAAAAATGCATGAGTCAGCTAAGGTGAAATACACCTGAGAAGTCCTCAGATTTATCTGTTCACTTCTCTGCCACACTAACTCCTTTACTGTCAGACAACACTGCTATATAGGTCAGGCAAACAGCAGGTTTACTTGGACATATGCTACATATTTCTAAAAATTATATGATGTGTAAAACATTTTTCCTCAAGTAGAACTGAAGGCCTATGAGTTGAAAGTGCTGTTTATTTAGGCTACTTGGACCAAGCAAACATTTAAAACTTTCATAATTAGAGCCCTGAGGTTCACTAACACATTTTGGTGTAGACCCTCCTCCCCCCTTACAATAATGTAAAAAGAATTTCCCCCAAACTCACCTTTGAATTTGTCTGTGTCTTTGTCTCTGACTAGTCGTACACTCCTTATGCTGAGATCCTTAAAGATAGCATCTATGTCGCCCTGAACCGTATTAAAAGGTAGATTTCCTACATATGCTGTGTAGGGGGGCTCTGTGGGCAGCTCCTTCTGGCTGCGGGAACCATGGCCACCAGCAGTGCCGCGGGACCTAGGAGGGGAAACAGACAGGATTCAAGTTTGCCCATGTGTTCCTGTCCCAGATCAGGAACAATAAAAATGCCTGCCAGGCAGCTACACTACCCAAGTGACTTGCTCCACTCTAACGTACAATAACATCATCTAGAAATTCTGAGTATTCCAAATACAGTTATATGAAAAAGGTACTTGTTTTTTAGTGACAGAAATGTCCACAGAATCACAGAAATCTATGTAAACATACATTTCTCTGGAAAATCAAATCCAAATAGAACATATGCTCCTATGGTTCTCCTGTATTCACTTACAATCAGCACCTGCAAAGTGTTTATGTTCTAAAACCTAAGCAAATGCCCTCCCTCACACCCAGTAATACTAATACATACACAAATGGACTGTCCAAGAGTCATTGTGTTGTACTCAGGAGGGATTACGGAAGCTGCTGAAGTTTACCGCACTCATATACAATTGTTTCTTGACATTGTCTATGGATAACAACACTCGAGTGGTTTACTTGTCCTTGGTTACAGGGCTAAAAAGTGGCAAAAGCAGGACCTTGACTGTGCCTCATCATTGATAACTTGCAGTTATCAGTTTAAATCCCAGCTCTGCAACTTACCAGCCATATGATCAAAGCTTACCTTCTCTAAGCATTTATTTGTGAAACTGGGTTAATACTAATAAAGACCTTGAGTTATTGAGAAATAACAAATATATGGTGCTTCAAACACTGCCTAACACAGTATATATGTAGAGAGTATCAAGTACCATTATCACTGCCAGCTACAAGCGGACCTATAGAATGTACACTAAGAGTAAACCCTAATGTGACTGGACTTTGGGTGATAATAACATCATGAATGTAGAGGTTCTTTGATTGTAACAAATGTACTATTTATTACTCTGCAAACAGGAGGCTGTGCATGTGCAAGGGCAGGGTGTATTTAGGAACTGTGTAATTTCTGTCCAATTTTGCTACGAACCCAAAATTGCTCTAAAAAATAGTCTATTAAAATGAATGAATGAATAGAAAGGGGAGCTATCCTTTACATCCATCAGTAAGAAATGTCAGCTAATAAATGTAGAAGGAATTACATTAATTAGAAAATCACTACACTCTGCAATGTAGTTAGTAGTAACCAATTCAGGTTAGGACCATCAATGGATGCCCAAACCACTGATAAACTGGTTTTTGAGGAATAAGATATTCACATGATCTCAAATTATCATCCCAGAGATTATTAATCTCAAGGGGGGGAAAAGTTCCTTCTCAAATGGAAAAATCTGGCAGTCACCACCTTAACCAGGTGACTGAACTTAGTAACACTAATAATGAAACAAGCTTACATTATATGCCTTCTATATTGGCCTGGTTCTTCAAATATGTCAGTCAGGAAAGACAAAAAAGGCAAGGGAATAATGAAATGTGACAACCAATGCTACATGTGATCTTTGGATCCTGAAATGCACAGCTATAAGAGAAAAAGCAGATGAAGAAATCTGAATATGGCATGTATAGATATTACTGCATCAATGTTAAATTTCTTACGAGTGACCATTGGTACTGCAGTTAGCAGAATGCCCTTGTTCTCAAGAGACTTAAAGTATTCACAGGGGTGATGTGTTGAGACAGCCAACATTTCTTTCTTTCTTTTTAATTTTTTTTGTTATTGATTTCAGAGAGAGGAAGGGAGAGGGAGAAATATCAACGATAAGAGTCATTGATCAGCTGCCTCCTGCACGCCCCCTACTGGGATCGAGCCTGAAAACCACGCATGTGCCCTGACGGGGAACTGAACCGTGACCACCTCATTAATGGGTCCACACTCAACCCCTGAGCAACGCCGGCCAGGCCCAACATTTATTTTCAAAGGGTTCACCATAAAAGACATGTGAGTAGGTATGTATATATAAAGCAAATGTGCAACCTGTTAATAATCTGTCAGAATCCATTGTATCATTCCTTCAACTTCAGTGTAGATTTGAAAAATTTTCAAAATAAAATGTTTGCAGAACATAGGAAGGAAAAAATTAAAGAGGAGGGTATTTTTTCTTTTAAAATTAATATTTAAAACAAATGAGTCTCCTCACAGCAATCAAAGATATGCTCAAAGTCACCCTTTTTGCAGGGGAAACAGGAACATTAGTATTGGAAAGCAACTGGATTTCCATATATTGCTAGAAGTATCATGAAAGAAATTCTACATCTTCCTTGAGATAAATTCCAGGTAAGTATTTGGTAATAAATATTATTTTTTAATCCTCACCTGAGGATATTTTTTCCATTGCTTTTCAGAGAGTGTTAGAAGGAGGGAGGGAGGGAAGGAGGGGGACAGGGAGGGGGAGAGAGATCAAGATGAGAGAGAGACATCGATTTGTTGCCTCCCACATGTGCCCCGAACAGGCTGTGAATAGAGCCCGGGACCCTTCAGTCTGTGGGCCAACACTCTAACCGAGCCAAATCGGCTAGGGCAATATTATTCTTTTAAAAATTTATTTATTGATTGATTGATTTTAGAGAGAGTGATGGAGGGGGAGGGAGGGAGGGGAAGAGAGAAAAACATCAATTAGCTGGTTCCACTTATTTATGCATTCATTGATTGCATCTTGTGTGTGCCCTGACTGGAGAGTAAGCCTGCAAGGTTGGTGTATGGGGATGATGCTCTAACCAACTGAGCTACCTGGCCAGCGCTCACTCTTATTCTTTAAGACAACATTTTTCTGAAGCAGAAGAACCAAGCCATGATGTAATTGTTAGATGACTAAAAATTTTAAATTTAATAACAACTCAGAATTCTGCTACTTCCCAACAGAAACTATTAAGTATTGTTCTGCATTCTGTTCTAAGAACACCAGAAAAATAGGTTTATAAGTGAATTGCATCCCACTTCCCCCTCTCCAAAGCTTAGCAAATGTTACTTATTTTGCATTTTTAACACTGCTGATAGCATACAACACAACTGTTATTATCTTAATAGCCATAAAACCTAAATTATTTTTTTTTTATCCTCACCCAAGGATATTTTTTCCATTGCTTTTCAGAGAGAGTGGAAGAGAGGAAGAGAGGAAGAGGGAGAG